TGTAGTCCTGGTGGAGAGAACTAGGCACGGCTGACAACAGTGCCTCTATGGCACCGAAATTCGAAATGGGTTAAGTTAGGAGCTCTAACTCGGAGATAGATCAGCAGATCACCAGGTTTTCTGTACCCGCTGCATTTTTTAAATATAAAACATTGGGGGGCTGCATGTATTGCGGATGTAAATGTTTTTTTTTTGTCCAGATATATGTAATCTGGTTATTTCAGTGTATTTCTAAATAGATTTGTTGAATAGGCTACAAATCTGGGTTTACATACGATTTCAGTGTAGTAATCTAGTTCAGGATGAAGTTGTATGAAACCGCAATTGGATGTGTTGCACATCTTTTAGGTGTAAGCACATTAGGTTTTTTTTTTTTTATGGTAATATGTTTACCTTGTTGTACCATTTAACCTATTAAAAATAGTATACATACTTTGCCACACGGGTCACAATCTAGAAAACATGGGTTGAATGGTACAATAAAAAGTGGAAACCCTAAAAAAGGGAAACTGCAAGAAAATTGTAAGCTGATCCATCCAATTTGTGCAATAAAATTTTTTTTTTATCCAGTCCCTTATGACCTCATACAAATTTTCTGAATACATTGAGGGGCATTTAACAAAACTGGAGTAGACAAAATCTGGAGCAGTTGCTCCCCCCAGTAATGGCTTACTCGCATCTAGATTTCTGTAGAGTTCTGTCTAAATGCTGTATACTGAAATGTGTGACCAGTTGACACACTGCTTGTACTGAGGAACATGTCAGACGATTATAGCCCAGGTTTCTAACCATTGCTGGGTGTGCCTGCCCTGAAACAAGAAAAAGTGGCATCCTCCAGCACTGTAGCATGTTCTTCCAAATTGTCTGGAAATGTATGCATTTTGTATAACCCTCTAGATGAAACAGTCTTTGCAATCTGTAGTAATGAAGTGCATGAAGTATAAAATTTGCTTTGATGTATTCTCATTTTTTCTTTAGGGAAAATTCATACGAATTAATTTTGATGTCAATGGCTACATTGTTGGTGCAAATATTGAGACCTGTATCCTTTCTAATTATATTGCTTGGTGTGTTTTGTGCTTTGTTTTCATAATATTTGGATAAAATGCCATCTTTTATTTATAAAATTCAATACACAAATGGTGTTACAAAAATACATTTTACTTCAGAATAAAACTGTGATAATTTTTTTTTGCAATTGCACCGCACTGGAATGCAGGGCATAATGAGCACATTAGTAAGGCTTTGTTATAAATGTATATTTCACATTTCCCTTGACTGAGTGCCAGACTTGCTGGAAAAATCCCGTGCAATTCGCCAGGCCAAAGATGAACGAACATTCCATATATTTTACTACCTATTGTCTGGTTCTGGAGAACACCTAAAGAGTAAGTATTGCATCTCCCTGGTCTGTAAGATGTCTTGAGGAGATTGAAGAAAAGTATTTCTGGGCATTTTCCGTCTTAGAGGAAAGCTCTATTGAAGTATGGTGATATTTAGAAATTACAGGTGTCCTGACTTTATGGTTCAGCAGCTTAAGTACTTTTGGGTCAATCTCAAGTATTGCAGTCGGCAAGTAGTATTTGCAGGGAGAGGTCAGCAGTGGCATTCTCTGTATTTGCTCCTCTGGTTTGCTTGGTGGAAACAAACTTTGAAATGGCATCCCAAGCAACATTATAAACTATATTCAGCGCATTATAATGGGTTTTTTTTGGTCATTTCCACTTTCCCTCCTTATAGTCAGAATAACCTGCTTTTTGTGTCCTCTTCCCACTTTCAGCTTTCCCATTGTATTATGAATGCACATTACTGCTCTGTAAATGTGCCTAAAGCCTGTTGGTGTGGCAGTACTGTACAATGCAGTGGTTTGCTTAGTGTCAGCACTGCTGCTCTTATTTCAGGTGGGCTGGGGATGACTGTGAGAGGTAGTTACTTTATAAGGTCCGGTGTCAACAGGCTTTTGTTTGCTTCAGTTGGGGTTTGCATCCCATACAAGCGTCTCAAACCAATGCCATCTATGCAAGCTCAAAGCCTGTTAACATGGGCCCCTTAAGCATGATTTGGATGCTCTACCAAAAATACAAGAAAAAGGAAGGGCTGGTATATGGCATTTCAAAAATATGCTGGGTAGTATGCTCTCTAAAAAAAACCTTATTCCTTAAAAAATGGAAAGGCGCGCTATACTTAAAAGAAAACTATGGGGTAAGTGTTTTTCCTTCATAGTTCTCTTTTTAGGGTCACAGGAAGACATATACTAACCTCCTCCCGTGACCCAAACCTCAGTATATAGAAGGCTATTGCCCGTGACATACTGAGAGTGCCGCAGATGGGAAGCTAAGAGTGTAATGATTCTGACAGGAAATGTGTGTGCATACTGTTCATGATCTTTTTATTTTAAAAGGGCGAGAAGACTGATGGCATAGTTCATCCATTGAAAACGGCCCCCCAAAAATTATTTTTTTTCCCTGGGTCTTAACTAATCCTATATAAGTATTTTTCAAGAAAAAAAATGCATTTGCTGGAGAGAATGAGGCATTTTGCATCATTGTATTTCTAAGTCTATCTAGCGCTTGGCTGTGTGCAGTACTGTGTGCTTGTTGGTCAGAAGTAGCAGTTTGCTGATCAACGTTGCAATGCTTACTTTCATGGTGGTTAGAATACACTAAGCAAAATAAACATGCAAGACCAATCGGCCAGTTTTTTACTGGTTTGACTTCAGTAGAATTCTGACTAGTTGCTATATTTTTGCCATTTGTGTTTTTTGCGTGCAAAGTTTGGCTAAAGCCACACAGTGACTGGTTCTTCTTTGTGGTCATGTAAAAATGTGCTGGTTTGCAGCCTAAACCTACTTGTGTAGAACCATATAGTTCTGTTGTGCATGTTGACCAGAGAAGCACTGGTTTATTTTGTCATCCATCCACAGATTGCCATTTCTTAAAATGTAGTGCTGCTTCCATATTCAGTCTGCCTTGCCAGTAATGGTTTACCATGCTTTAGCAACTTCTCCTGAAATTCCCCTGCACATCCACTTCCTGCATAACCCAGACTGTAGTCCACATTTCTTGTTACATAATGCATTTAAAAAAAATCTTCATTATTTTCTAACCTGAAACTTCCAACTTATCTCTTGCAGATGACCTCCTTTTGGAACCATACAATAAATATCGTTTCCTTTCCAATGGGCACGTTACCATTCCTGGTCAGCAAGACAAGGATCTGTTTCAAGAGACTTTGGAAGCAATGAAGATCATGGGAATCCCTGATGATGAGCAAATTGGTAGGTGTTCAAACCTGATACCTGACTTTTCGTATCAAGAACATTCCTTTCATTGAAAGAATATCTGGTAATCTTGCTGTGAGGGTCCTTGTTCATGCACTTTCTGTTAAAGGTTGACAGTGCTTTGTCCCCCGTCTCAAACCTGTGCCCCTCTGTCATGCTGTCCCATTGGCTTCTGATGGTATCTTCAAGTTACCATTTCAACATGCATTACTCTGGCACGCTCCACTGTTGTTCCCATCTGGAAATGGACATGAGAAATGCCATGTAGACATTGCTGAAGTGCATGTATACATGAAGTGGTTGTAAAATGGCTACAGGAGATAAACCAAGATGTAGCAAAGGATGACAAAAAAAGTGAGCCAGTATTTTCGAAAAGGAAAAAAACTTGGCAATTGTTTTGATACACAATTCTTTAGTAAGCCAAATGTCATTCAGATAGACTGTTATCGAAAGGGGCTTAAAGTGGATGTAAACCTGGACACTTAACCTTCCCCTAATTCTAATCCTGATTCAATCACTAATCCAGTGATCCAGAGATGTTTGAACTGTAGGTCTATGTAAATCTTAACTTGAGAAAGTGGAGACTGACCCCACCCTTTTCCACTTCCTGAACCTCCTGATTTTGTCATTTTATGTGTAGGCTGGCCTCATGGACCAATAAAGTGACTTTAGTATTTTTTCTTTTAATAAATATTCAATTTTTTCCCCCCAGGGTTGTTGCGAGTTATTTCTGGAGTCCTGCAGCTGGGTAACATTGCATTTAAGAAGGAGCGCAACACAGATCAGGCTTCAATGCCTGACAACACAGGTATGCTCTGTTCCCTGGGGTAGTGTGGCTGCTGGTTAGATAATACGAACATTTTTACAAGAGGATCCTCAGCGCGATTCTATCTCAATATACAGGACCTCAGTGGTGGGGTTTCCCATCAAGTCTTTGTGTTCTTGCTATCCCAAAAATCCTATAAGGATATCGCTGTCTTGGAGATGCTCACCAAGTACTTGTAATACGTTATACGGCACCATTATTTTGGTATCGTCAATAGCACTTGGGTGGAGATGGGAACAGTGGATCTCTTGCTATTGTAGTTTCAGTGTGTGATTCAGCATCTAAGCTTAAATATCCTAAACGTAGTTTTGGATTGAATGGGCAAAGATTGGAATCCCTGTTTACTGCACTTCGGTGCACAGATCTCTAATAGCACCCACATTTTTATTAAATGTTTTTGTTTTTTAAGCTTTAGGTTATTACTGTGTCCTAATGCACATATTTTCCTCATTCCTGCCTGATAAAATTGTCACTGATGGTGATGGGCAGATCTCTCTAACAGAGCTCTAGTTAAATAAGGTGGGGTGCTAATCCTTCTCCAAAATGTTTTGGCTGGTTTACACTTTTTTTTTAGAGCTATTCTTCACTTGTGGTATTTGATGCATTAATCGGCATTGTGGTACCTGTGCCTGTAGGTCCTCAACAAACGTACACGCCCCAAAAAAAAAAAAAAAAATCTGACCTCCCCCCCCATTGCACCTCAACACAGCGTGTTTTGCAGTGTTTTAAATGGTGTTTGGTGTTTACAGCACACTGCAACAGCCATGTATTGGTGTGGATTCAACCTAAATATCTACTATGTGGGATGCCTTAGACTCCTAAATTGTTCACACCATATTTTGTTTTTAGTGCATTTCAAACTGTAAAATGTCCTCCTGTGTTCCCTGGTTAAGTAGTCCTGATAAAATAATGTACTTGCTCTTTTATAGCTGCCCAGAAAGTGTGCCATCTTTTGGGCATTAATGTGAACGATTTTACACGAGCAATCCTCATGCCTCGCATTAAGGTTGGACGTGACTATGTCCAGAAAGCCCAGACCAAAGAGCAGGTAAAAGGTTATTCCAGCTAGAATGGATTTTCAGGTTACCTTTTCAGTTTGCTGAAATGTTATCCATCTTTTATTTAGGCGGACTTTGCAATAGAAGCTCTTGCTAAAGCAAGTTATGAGCGCATGTTCCGTTGGCTTGTCATGCGCATCAACAAAGCCTTAGACAAAACCAAGAGGCAAGGTGCTTCATTTATTGGCATTCTGGATATTGCTGGCTTTGAAATATTTGAGGTAAATTATCTACATGAGGACGTCTAATATTTTATTATATAATATTTGGAAATTTGCAGCAGCAATTAATGGTGCCCCTGTGAATTTCTTTTTTTATTTTCGAATTCAAGTGTTTCACACTATAAACTTTAAAAGTGATGTGTAATCGATGCCATCTCTGTCATCCATTCTCTGTAGCTGAACTCATTTGAACAGCTTTGCATTAATTATACCAATGAGAAACTGCAGCAGCTCTTCAATCACACTATGTTTATACTCGAACAAGAGGAATACCAGCGGGAAGGTATTGAGTGGAACTTCATTGACTTTGGCTTGGATCTTCAGCCTTGTATTGACTTGATCGAAAAACCAGTGAGTACATTGGGGGATGTATGTATGTGTATATAAATGTGTGTGTATGTATATTGCTGCATTGGTAATCATGCTCTTGATTTGCAGGCTGGTCCCCCAGGCATTCTAGCTCTCTTAGATGAGGAATGTTGGTTTCCCAAGGCTACGGATAAGAGTTTTGTGGAGAAAGTGGTACAGGAGCAAGGCACTCACTCAAAGTTCCAAAAGCCCAAGCAACTTAAGGAAAAGGCTGACTTTTCCATCATGCACTATGCTGGGAGGGTAAGTTACCTGTTTTTTCATGTAAAATGTACTATTTTGTAAACTACAGTTGATGAAGCTTTAATACAATTCTGTTTAATGTTGACTTCAAGTGAACTACATAAAGTGCAACTGTGTCAAGACTGGGGACATTAAAGATTTTGTACATTCTTTACAAATCAGTATTGCTTTTTAAATGAGCCACAACTGACCTCTAGATTTTGACTTCAAAGACTTGTCTGATTTCAACTGGTGCATAACACCTTTAGAACCATCTGCTCGGTGTGTACATTAGGATAGCCAAAATTCTACCCTCCATACAAAGTAAAGGGGGCAAAGATTTTAGTTCTTTTGTGAACTTTGAGAGGTAAGTGGCGGGGGTTTAGGTGCTTTAAATGCAGGTTTAGAATGTGTAAATGTGTATATCCTGGCCACAGGTTCACTTTAAATACACTTATACATTTAAGCTACGGTTTGAAGCAGTCTTGCCTGCAAAAAGAATATTTGCTTGTTGCGCTGCCAATCTTTGCTCCATTTTAAAAGCTTAAACTTTTCTGGGAGTTTTGGGTGCCTGGTCCCCCTCCACACTATGGTTTTATCAGTATAGAACAATGTAGTCATGTAGGGGAAGGTGGAAGAAATCAGGCATCCAACACGGCAAACTTCACGCTTTAAAGTGATATTAAACCCTCATATATTTTTTAATCCATTCTAAAATGTTTTATGGTTATCTATGCTTGCTTCAGACCTCTGGTCTGCTGGTTCTTTAAAATCTTCAGAGTTCAGAATGCTGGGGGGAACTTCCGTTCTACAAGTTACCTTCATCTTCCCTATGTGTTCCATGGAATCTCTCCCTGTGATAGGACTACAGAATTGTGTAAGAATGCAGCCTGCCCAACGTGTACAGGACCACCTACTTTTGGCAGCGTCTCGCTGGTGCTGTGATCGGCTGAAATCTCACATTCACATCAAGGTTTTTTGTTTTTTTTTTTTCCCCTTTTCAACAAGCTTTAGGTCCAGTGTATATGTAATAGCATATGTAGCAATGTAATTTGTATGATGGCTCTAGCCTTTTTTTTTTTTTTTTTTTTTAAAAGCAGTAGTATGTTTTAATGTGTATAGATTGTGGAGCAATGTAATGTTTACCTTGCTGCAGTCTTTTAACAAGTGTTATGTATGCTTGTTAAAAAAGCATACATAAAAAATGTTAGTCTGGTGCAATGTAATCATTACTTTGCTCCACAATCTATACACATTAAACATAATGCTTGTTTAAAAAAAAAAAGGTCTGGAGCCATTTAACAGATTACATTGCTTCATAGGCTGTTTACATATACAATAGACATAAAGCTTGTTGGGGAGAAGAAGAAAAAAAAGCTTGATGTGAAAGATCTCAGCTGAATGCGTTCCTGTACACGTTGGTCAGGCTGCATTCTTACATAATTCTGTAGTCCTACCACAGGAGCGTGCAAAGGAGCAACTCCATGGCACAGAGGGAGGATGGAGGTAACTTGTAGAACGGAAGTTCCCCCCAGCATTCTGAACTCTGAAGATTTTAAAGAAACAGCAGCCCAGAGGTCTGAAGCAAGCATGGATAACAGTAAAACATATTGTAGCATTGATTTTATTTAAATGTGGGGGATTAATATTACTTTGATAGCAATGATTGGCAGCAGGACAGATGAGTATTTTTTTTTTCTTCTTTGCAGTCACAACAGCAAGTGATAAGATCTCTTCCCAAAATGGGTAAAATTCCCTCAGACAGTTGTCGTCATAACACATGTTCCCTTTAGGCTCTATTCTTACTCTGGCAACAGTTAAACATTTTGGAATTCCCATCACTTTGCACCCTGGTGACAGGACACAGATGGCGAATCTCTGCAGTGGTGACAGACAACAATAATACAAAAAAGTTCCTTCAGGTGACTTCCCTGAGCTGCAGACAGTCCCTAGTTCTTTTTTTTTTTTTGGGGGGGGGGGGGG